GGACTCCTGACTCCCAGCCCCCTGCTCTAACCACTAGACCCCACTCCCTGTCATTGCTCCTGGGAAAATGCAATATGCCAATCTCTTCCAGCAAGGTTTCTCATGGGGTGGGGGGGGGGGTAGCGACTGACAGGGACATTTTATTGGATTTGATTTGATGCCTGAAAAGCAGCTGTCACCGCAGATCTTTCTGGGGGGGGAGAGGGGGAGCTCCATGTTATGTGGGGCAGGATTTCTCTTGGAGGGACAGGTGCTGTGATCCCCTCTCTCCTGCTGGCCCCGAGGATCAGAGCTAGGGGCTCAGTGCTCTTAGCAGAGACAGGCCTCTGCTTCCCTGGTGAGCAGGCTCCTCCTGTACCCTGAAGATGCGACTGAGACCCTGGAGCTAGATGGAAGGTGCCACCCCTGGGAAAGTGCTATGCAGACCCAGGGCTCCCATCGGGGCAGAGCCCTGCTGCCCCACAGCTTGTGAAGGGAGCTGGAATGGGGCTGGAGGCCGGCTCCAGCCGGCCGGTGTGCAGTCTGGATTTCAGACCCCATAGGGTCCAGGTGTGACAGGAGCCAGAGGGTTCAGGGGGAGTGGGGAAAGCTTTGTCTCCATGCAGGCTGCAGGAGGGATGAATGGGCCACTGAGCAGAAATTTCCCCAGTCTAAGACAGAACTCATCCCTCCCCCAACGCAGGAGAGAGGGGCCCTGTGGGGCACAGCCCATGGGCTGGATGAGCCCTCAGGAATAGCCCCCGAATGTGCCATGGGGAAGCTGTGTCCTTATAACAGGGGCCTCATCACTGCAGTGGGACAGAGGACAAGTGACCCACACCCACGGGTGCCATGTTGCTGGGATACGGGAATCGCCTTGGTGCACAGATCAATGGGGCGGCTCCTTGGGAATCCCATCTCTGCTACCAGCCAAATCTGGGAGGAGAACTGCCCCACAATGCACCTGGATGGGGAATATATCCCACAGGGAGGTGGTCCCCCCGCCCCAGCCAGCCATCGGCTCCAGCCCTAGAGCTGGAAGCGAAGTTGCTGGACCCAGTCCTATGTACTGTGATCTGGGAGATACCTGGGTGGGGCTGGGGGGGTTAAAGGCACGGCACGCAGGGCTCCTAAGCAAACAGGTCTCTTTGGCGTATGTGCCCCTCCCTCTGCCTCCCCCCTTTCTGGGACAGCAGCATCCTCAGCGCAGCTGGGAAATTACACCAACCTCCGCCCCCCCCCCCCCAGCACATATCAAAGCATTTCACCGTTGCTCCCAGGCTAGGAAAATGGGGTAACTTGTGTCCCTCCAAGATCTCCACTGCCCCCCTCCTCCCATGCTGATGGAAAGCAGAGAAGAGACATCTCAGTGAAACTCCACCTCCCCACCCCACCGTGTCTCCGTCCGGGGGCCCCAGCCAAAGCCGGCCCCTCAGAGCGACCCTAAGTTAGACAAGGAGAGGACTCTCCCCCCCAACTCTAGTGGGATGGGAGGGCGATGGGGGGGGGGGAATCCCTGCTCTGTTAGGAAAAGGTCACTTCGAACAGAGTCGAGAGCTCAGAATACAAATGGATTTGAAACCTTCAGCCCCCCCAGCCCTTTCCCCTCCATGCCCCCATCGATTCCTGCCCCCTATTGCCCCAACTGTCCCCCACATCCAGCCCTGCCCCCTCCATGCCCCCCCACATCCACCCCTGCCCCCTCCATGCCCCCCACATCCACCCCTGCCCCCATTGCCCAACTGCCCCCAACATCCAACCCTTCCCCCCCCACATCCACCCCGTCCCTACCCCTTCTGTATCGCCCCCAACAACCACCATCCACCTCCCCCGTCAACCCGGTCCCCTACATCCAACCCCCGAGCCTGCCTCAATTCCAAATCACCTCCCTCCGACCTGCCCCCCATCTCCAGGCCCCGTCCCTCCTGCGCCCCGGCCGGCTCACCGCGTCCCCCGGGACTCTCCGCGCAGCGCCCGGGCTCGGCTCCGTCTCGGCAGCGAGTTTGAATGAAAACGCGAGTTAAGTTTCTTGCCTGGCCAAGGCGGCTCCCCCCGCCCCGCCCCGCCCCATCCCCGCAGCTGGGCGGGGCCGGCCGCGGCCCCTAACCCGGGCCACATGGCTCTGAGCCCGCCAGCGGAGGATCCCAAAGCGCTTTGCAGACTCACCCTGCCGGGGAGGGGGGATTCTGGGGCCCGATTCTGCGCCGCTCACTCCCCGGTGAGTCGGGAGCCATTCAGCAGAGGCAGCCAACACAGGAGCAGAGACCTTCAGCCCCCCCCACCCCAGTCCCCTCTAAGGCCCAGCACTGTCCTTGTCCCTTCTCCAGCTGCAGTGGCAGCATGGGCCAGTGAGTAAGGGCATGGAGTGGGGCATTCCCAGGTGGGGGAATAGGCCAGTGCCTCACTTTCCCCCTCTTGCCCCTTGCCTGTTTAGGCTGTAAAATCTTCCGTGCCCTGCTTAGCACAATGGGGGTTAGTGTTCCTGTAATACAAATACGATATGGGGAAACCGAGGCACTGAGGGAAGGGGACTTTCAAAAATATTACCCAGCAAGACCCAATGGCAGGGATTGGAACCCAGGCAGCCTGACCTCTGCTCGGCTGCTCTTACGCAAAGGGCTTCTCTGTTAGTGGTATCAACCCTTGAGAGGGGACTTGATCCCCAGCCAAGTACCTGCATGAGGAAGAGGCCACTAGCAGCAGAGGGCTCTTTGATCTAGCAGGCAAAGGCAGAACAAGACACAAGGGCTGGAAGCAGAAATTAGATAAATCCAGCCTAGAAATAAGAGGCACATATTTGACAGGGAGAGGAATTAACCACTGGAGCAAACTTACCTGGGGGCATGGTACGTCTCTACCCCTTGAAGTCCGGTCCTAGTTAACAGATGCACTAGCTCAGCTACAAGATATGGGCTGGATCCAGGAATCACCAGACAGCCCTCTGCAGTTCAGACTAGCTGAGTGTCAGTGTCCCTCTGGGGGGGTAGATTTGATGAACTCTCAGTACCCTAAAACCAGCACCAGGGGAACGTAACTGGGTCTCAGGAATGTCACCCCCCAATAGCACTCACATCTCAGAGGCAGGGGCCTGGGGTCCAGCTAAGAGTGCACTGGTTGGGTGTATAGGTTGAGGGCTGACCGTCCCTCTGCTGTACAGTGATCGAGTCCTCACCCAGCACTGAAATGGTTAAAGCTGGTTCTCTCTGTGCAGCGCCTTCCGGTCCCAGCCCAGATCTTAACTTGCATGGCATGTTCCATCCCTAGATCTCAAAGCACCATGGGCCAGGCTTACCGTCTCTGTTTTACAGATGGGAAAACTGAGGCACAGATGGAGTGACTTGCCCAAGTAGACTCCACCACAGAGGCTGTGGCAGGGCCAGAAATCAAGCCCAGGTCTCCTGAATCTTAACCCCTCATGCCCATCTGTCTCACAGGATGGGAGCATGGTTCCTGCAGCTGCCCCTCTGCCTAATTCAGAGCCACCTCGCTCATTGCCACCTTCCTCTAACAGCAGGACTCCAGCGGGGAGCCCACTCGAGCTGGGGAGACCAAAGCACAGAGAGGAAGGGACTTGCTCATGCCCCCCCCCCCCAGCCAGTCAGGGGTAGAGAATCCAGAGCTAGGGATGGGGCCTAACCCCTCTTCCCACTGCCGGCCAGGGAACAGAACCCAGCTCCCCAGCCCTGTCCTGGTTGTATGGGAGGTTAAAGCACTCCTGGCTACAAAGTGGGTGTCGCACTGCACTGGGGTGGAGCCGATAGCAGCCTCCTGCAGGAAGTTTGGCCCCTGTGCAGTTGGGATTTCTCTCACTGTGGGGCCCTGTTGGGGGAGAGCAGTACAATTGGTGGCTACTGGTTCTCCCCCCATAATAGCTTTGAGAGCTGGGCTGAAATCCTCCAGGATGGGGTGATCTAAGGGCTTCTCTGACAACAGGGCCCTTTGTTCAGCAGCAGCCATGTGCTCAGTGTTGAGAGCCCAGCAGAAGGCATGGGGCGGGGGGCGCTGAGGATAGAGTTACACAAGCTGGTGAGGGGATCCGGCTGGATTCTGCAGGGGGTGGCAGAGGCAGGGTTATGCACCCAGGCTGCAATTGGCCACAGGGCTAGGCTGGGCAGCTGCTGAACCGGACCCAGGCTTCCCGCCTCTGGCTACTGGGGTTTGCAGCCCCTTGTGCATGTGGAGGAAAGAGGCTGGCTGGTGGGATTTCTGGTGCCACCCCCCCCACACACACACACCCTGACCCCACTGCTGTGACCCCCCTCAGCTCCTGGAACAGGATGCCCCCCCCCCCCATTTCCCAGTGGCTGGAGAAATCAGCTAGGTCACAGTCTAGTCTCCTCCAGAAGGGAAAGGCTGGCTCAGTAACCCACTCTTCCCAGACCCCCCAGCCTGAGGCAGGGGCATTAGCTGTGGGGACTGAACCTGGGTCTAGCAGCATGACCCCCTGCCTGAGCTCAGAGACCCAGTGTGGCTGGCTCATGAACCTTCATGTAGCCCAGGCAGAGCACCCCACGAGGGGCTGGAGAGGGTCTGCAGTGGGAATAGCTCCAGCCCAAGGCTGCACCTATAGGGGAAACTTGTGCCTATTCAGTGAGCAGCAGCCAGGGAGCTTATGGCTGCACCTGGGCAGACACCCAAGGGAGACAGGTGGGGCTTCCCTTGTCTGGCCACCCCTGGCTCAGAAGCAGGGCAGTTTGTCCCTGCTGTACAACTGCCACCCTCTGGGGGCTACCCCAGATCTAGAACCTTACATGGCTGGGGCTGCCTCCAAGCCAGCAGCCCTTTGCCACCAGCAGCGAAGAGAGTTTCCCTCTGGCATGTGTTCTGGTGACTACGACTGAGTCTGTGTCAGGCCATTTGCAGTAAAGCAGGCAGCTGGGGGAGGGGTAGGAGGAGAGGGGAGCAGCACAGCAGAGATGAGTAGTTGATGGTGGTTTTTTATTAAACAAAAAAGGTTACAAATAATGAACTTTTCAAAACAAAATTATAAGAGTCTAGCTGGGAATCTCAGCCCACGGCCCTTAAAAACATGGAGAGGACCCAACACACAAAAATCTCTCTCTAACGCCACCCCAGGCTTGGCAGAACCAGGCACAAGGGTTACACACCAGCCTTGCACATGGATGATCATGAGGGAGGTGTCTGGGGGGCAGGGAGGGAAGAATACCAATATTTGGCCTGGAAAGAGCTCCTTGGCCCAGCTGAGTTGGATGGTCAACCGCTGACCCACCCCAGCTCCTTGGCCTTGGGGATGGCCTTGCTGAACACAGCACTAGCTGCTGTTATGGCTTTGAAGTGCCCGTGGCTCACTGCAGAACCCAGACTATGTGATCAGAGAGTGCCAAGCTCCCAGGGTTGCCTGTGCCAGCCTGCTAACCCAAGTGGCTCAGTTCCCAGCATGGGGGAGGGGGGGCATGTTGGCAAGACAGGGGCACACAGATTGAAAACTGAAAGCTAAGGCTGGCTGCAAATTCCTCTCCCATCAGGGCCCACCCACACTCAATCAGCCCCCGGAGTGGCTACAGGGAGAGCCTGGCTTGCTCTCCACTGACCCACCCTGGGAGAAGAGGGAGGCCTTGAGTTGTTTTGAGGCAGGGGGAGGAAGTGCTGAGTTGGAAGAATTCAGGAGGTGAGCTACAAAGACAAGAGGCAGGTGTGAATGCACCACTAGAGAATCTTAGCAGTGGGCAGAGCTGCACAAGCCAGCGACCATTGCCCTGGGCCCAGCACACACTCAGAGATACTCGACTGTAGCCACTCTGGAACAACAAGCCTTAAATGCAGTCCTCTGGCTGAACAAATTGTCTCAAAGGTTGTTTTTTTAAAAACTGTTCTAAGGACACCAGTTTCAAAGCCAATACAAACAGCCCAGCTTAATACAAAGATGACAACAGAATTTAAGTGGAGTTTACCTTCAGCCATTTGTATTTCTCTCAGCTCAGAGGCCGGTCAGTTTCAACTTTTGTTTCTAGTCTGTTTCACTCAGGTTCTCAAACATTGGGACCTTGCTGCAATTCTTGGGTTGCAAAGGTCTGCAGGGAAGTTGTTGCTTTGCAGAGGGAAGCTTCCTTTGTCTCCTCCTAGTTTGAAGAGCACTAAGTAAAGGGGAAGTTTTCGAAGAGTCTTTTTTTGGGTTAATATACACACCAAGATTTTCTTAATAAACTTATGAGTCCAGGTACCCATCTAGGACACATTTAAGGGGCCTGATTTGTCAGACGGTGGGTAAAAAACAGCCCAGCCCTCTTTAAGAGGTTCTCAAGTTGGACCCCCCCCAAAACTGAGATACTCAAAGGCACTAGTAACTTCTGAACTGTAACTCTTGAAAGTTGGGGGTCAGACTTGGATTTCCCCTTTAGAAAGCTGCCCTCTGTGCTCACGTTAGGTTGCCAAGCTCAGTTTTCCCAGCGGGGTGTATGTGGAGAAGGAGAGAGTAGGTAGGAGAAGAGCGAACGTTTGCCTTGCCGCAAGCTTTGTGCCTGGGACCTTTGAGAGCAGCCCATCAGGACAGACTTCTGGGAAGGCTTTTCCCCTCTACACTTAGTCCCTGGGCAGACATCAGTCTACAGCCAGTAGCTTGCAGAGACGGTATTTCCTCCGGATTTCAGTGCGGACATCACCCTATGGGAGAGGGATTTCAAAGGGGACAGCTCAGGTGGGCAGTGCTTCGTTTGGGCCGGGGCTCAGCCCCAGCCCCTCTTTCATCACAAGTGGGGCACAGCAGGTGGGGTGTGCAACACTCACAAGGATCCCCCACATGGCAGGGGAGTCGGAGACTGGGACCTCCAGCACTGCAACACAGACCTCCCACTACTGCTCAAGTAACTCTGCCAACAGGCTCTTTTCCTTCAGTGGACCAGCCCCTGGTGAGGGGGGGGGGGAGAAGATGTGGCATGTTCTGCCATTGCATTACAGGGGCATTATTTCCTAAACAGATGATCAGCACCACTGACTCCTGAGGGTAAGAGGAGCTGATCCGGCCACTTTGACAGATCAATAACCCTAGATTAGCACTGTGGAGTGGCACTAGGAACCATGTCACTGCTCAGCTCGGGGCCTGTCTCCATAGAAACAGGGCACATCTGAGCCCTGAGGAGGGGCAATGCCCATGAAAGGCAAGAACGGGCGAGATCCCGTCCAGCCCCTTGGTCAGCCGGGTTAGGGGGATAGTGACCGAGCTGGCTCGGTGTGCTGGTCTCCTTACCACTTGGCTAAGCTTCCCCAGCAGTGGGAGAACGCGTAGCAACTCCTCGTCCTGGCGGTCCCCCAGCCAGCCGGGGATCGGGATCCAGTTGGAAATCTGCAGAAAGGGAAGGAGTGTTGGCTGTGCAAGAACCAGGCAGCCCCGCCAGCCAGCAGTTAGCCAGGGGAATGTGGAGAGGTTAGAAATCCAGGGGCAAGAGTGGGGAGAAAGTGTAGACTCCTAGAGGTGCAGGGCTAGAAGGAACTTCAATCATATAATATCGGGGTTGGAAGGGACCTCAGGAGGTATCTAGTCCAACCCCCTGCTCAAAGCAGGACCAATCCCCAATTTTTGCCCCAGATCCCTAAATGGCCCCCTGAAGGACTGAACTCACAATCCTGGGTTTAGCGGGCCAATGCTCAAACCACTGAGCTATCCCTCCCTTCAAGAGGTCAAGTCTAACCCCCCTGCACTGAGGGGGGACAAAGTCAACCTAAACCATCCCCAAGGGGTGTTTGTCTAACCAGTTAAACCTGCACTGATGGGGATTCCACCATTGCCCTTTGAAGCCTTGCAGGACCCATTAGATACACCCTCCCCCTTGGGCAGTGAGTCATTGATAACAACTCGGGTATCAGTTGCACCCCAACCATTAGCAATTTCCTCTCGATTGCATTTCCCGGGTTTGAGAGTTTCAGGTGAGATGGTCAAAAGCCTTTTTTAAAAAGGCGTCCCCGTCCCCCCCATCATCATGTCTATTCCCCCCCCCCCCCATCCACTAGGCCAGTAACCCCAAAGGAGGTTAAAGGAGAACAGTAGGTTGGTTTGGCAGGATTTGTTCTGGACAGATCCAGGCTGGCTATTATCCTCCATGTGCTCACAAACGGAGTGGTTAGAATTTGGTTGCGGTATCTTTCTGGGGAGTGAAGCGAGGCGGAGTGGTCTAGAACTTCTTTGGTCCTCTTTGTACACCAGTCCAAGATCTTGCCCATCCTCCAGGAGTCCCCAGAGAGAATTGCTAACACGTCTCAGATTGCTTCAGCTGGTTCTTTAAGGAACCTAGAGTGAATTTTGTCAGGCCCTGCCAACGTGAATGTAGCTACCTATTCTTTAGCCTGCTCTTTCCCCATGTGACTTGTATTCCTTCCCCTTCGTTGTTGGTTTGTTAATTGCATAGTGTTAACCATCTGATCACAACTCACCTTTCTAGCCAAGAAAGGAACAAAACAGGCATTAAACAAACACCTCCAGCTTCTTGAGGTCATCCCTTATTAGCTCTGCCTCCCCACTAAGTGGGCTGTGCTTTCCTTTGTCTTTTATAGAACCGCATATGTCCCTTGCGAGGCATAATGCAGTTTGGGAATTAGCCTTTTGCACTTCATCCCCACATGTGTGATTTGTCTGGACACCTCTTCAACCATTCATCCACTTTTCCACTCTTTGTAGGATTCCTTTTTGGTTTTCAGGTCATTAAAGAGCTTCTGATGGAGCCACACTGGCCTCTTGCTATCGACTTCTCTGGACTCCTCATACTCTGCAGAGCTAGAGTGGGTGGGAACCCCTCTCCAAAATCCTGCTTCCTCTTGTGTTTATCCCCACTGATGGTCAGGCATGGCATATACAGGCAAACACCCCCAGCAGGACTTCAGCAGGGAAGGGTGCAGGGTTAGGATCAAGCATGGGAGACCCTGGTCTTTAGGATGAGACTAAAGGACCCAACCTCTTGTGGTCTCTAATGCCCCTGGCACTTGGGGTGGCACTTGCTTTCAGGAGAATGCCAGAGAGGCAGAGTGTAGAATCCAGCCAGGATGCTGGGGCAATCATACATGGGGCAAGTCTTACCTTCAGCAGCCTAGCCTTGCTGGGTATTGTTTAGCTGCTGCATCACACCCCAGAAGCAGCTGCATTCCAGCAGCAGGGGAGTGCGACTGTTTGCAAAGCACCATAGGAACCTTGGGGATGAAAGGGGCTCAAATGACCCTCTTATGCTTTTGACGTGAAGCACGTCTCACCTATGCCCCATAACACATGACTCCCCTCTCCCCAAAGGAGGTGGGGAGCTGGGGAAAGAGACCTCTGACCCGCTGCATGGCACCAGATGGGGGTGAGCAGGCAGAGGGTCACACTGCCTTCGGAGCGCTCACCCCCAGCCTGTGCAGGCAGAGCCATGCTAGCTGCATCCAACACCCCCAGTTACCTGGTAAGGGAACCCTTGGAGGGAATCATCCAGGGCCACTGTCCTGGCCAGGTCTCTCTCCAGGATGGAAAGGTCCTTCACGTAGTAACCCTGCAGGCAGAGACAGTCCTGCTGATAGAGGCGGTGCCTGGGGGGGGGAGAGGCCAGGGCAGGATAAGAGTCTGAGCGGGGGCAGGGAGGAGACCTGCACCTCTTGCCTGGGACAGTCACCTGATCAGCTTCTTCTGAGGGTCCAGGACATCCAGGATCTTCTCTGTGTAGTCCTGCTTTGCAGTAGTGAAGATAAAGATCTGGGGGAAGAGCATGCAAGCAGGGCTTGGGAGCGGCTCCCCCATGGTCGTGTCTGAGCAGCTCCCAGACACAAATGGCGTTAGCCCCACTCACCCCCCACCCCCATATCCACAACCCTCCTCTCCCAGGAGCATCACCGGCTGTTACCAATGCGGAGCCGGAGGAACAGGGAGATGAACGGATGTGGTCACACAGGGAGTCAGTGGCAGAGAGGGGGTTGACCCTGGGACCCAGTGATTCCAGAGATCTCTTCAGTCCAGAGATGAGCCCCCAGCTGGCCTCCCCTCACCACCCACCCAGACAAGCCCACGGACCTCCGAATTCAAGCCTGGCTTTGGATCTGGATTCTGCAGCTGGGTCCTCTCCCTATCGCAGATGTCCCAGCACATCCCTTCCTCCCACAAAGCGAGCATCGTTACTCCCTTACACCTCCTGGCGTGGCGCAGTGTCCCCACCCCCAGCACATCCGTGCAGTGCCCTGGCTGTGGGAGAGGGAGGCCAGGGGCCCAGCAGGTACCTCATAGGCTTTGGAGAGAGTTTCCAGGAACTCCTGCACGTGGGGGCGCAGCTTCATGTAAACCTCAAGGAAACCAGGGGGTAGGAAGCAGGGATCTGTATTAATGGGTCCAGCCTCCATCCCCTGCACCGCAACCCCCGCCCCACCCAAACAAAACAAAAAACCCCTCCAGCGAGGGCTTCTCATTCAGCACCAGAGACAGAGGGGGCAGCAAGTCAGCTCAAAGGCCCATCGAGCTGCGGATCTGGTCCCCAGGAGCCGCTGGCTCCGGGGGATGGCCCAGTCCCTTGGCGTGCAGGGTAAGCCCACTCCTTCCTGACCCCCATGCAGGCTTGGCTTGCGCCCTGAAGCAGGAGGATCAGTGGTGCTTGCGGTTTGGATTTTAGCTACTGCAACTGCAGACAGGAAGGGACTGCTCTCCCCGCACTGCCCACCGGCCGGGGAGGGCCCCAGAGCCCGATTGGCACGGGAGGGCTGCGGGAAAGGACCGAGGCAGGGAGGCCAGGTGAACACGGCTCTCGAGCCCCATCTAGTGGGCGGATCGGGGGCGGGGCCAATCTCCCCACTTCTTTCCTTGCTGCCACCTCCAAGGGCGAGGAGCCCCCTCCAGCTCCCCCCCCAAATTGCCCCAGTCACACCCCAGGCTGCTCAGCAGCCCCTGCCAGGCACTAACCCGATAAGCATCCCCCTGGAAGTCTGTGAGGAAGGTGCAGTCGGCGTCCCGGCTGGAGGTCAGGGAGCAGCAGACCAGGGTCCCCTCCTACAAGCAGGGAGTGCGGAGCTGCTTTTAGCACCCTCCCCACACGCGAGGCCCCCACCCCAGCAGCACCTCAAGCTATCACAGCAGCCACGATGCACTGTACGGTGGCCCCAGGCCCACGGTGGGGATTTGGCTCCTTTAGGACGGGCCTGATCCCTGCACAGACACCCCCCAGCTCACCAGCTCCAGGACCAGCGTGCTCTCAGGGGTGCTGCGGGTCTTGATGGGAGTTTCTTTCCTGGGGGGCTTCTGGCTGGACCTGGGGGGCAGGGCCTTGTGGATGAAGCTGGATGGGTGGGGAAGCAGAGAAAGGGGATTGGAGCTTCAGGGGTACAGCCCCCCCCCCCATCCCAGGGAGCGCCGTACTCACGGGCTCAAGATACTGGTTTCCTCTGGCTCATCCGATGGGAGGTTCCCGAAGTACACAACTCCACCCGTAGGCTGAGCCCCGGGCTTCCCTCTCTGCCCCCGAGGGCTCTCTGGCTCTGTAGGGACAAAAGCCTGGCTTCAAGATGGCCCTAAGTTTCAATGGGGACAAACTAGGACTTTGGGGCAACCAATGGGGCAGCACCCAGAGCCTGCAGGCTGGGGCTGAGGGGACCCAGTCCAGTTGATGTCCATGCAGCACAAACACAATCCCCAGAGTCGCCGACAGTGACCCCCCAGACCGAACCCTGGACCTCCCCACACTCAGCTGCTGCCTGAGGGCTCCTGGAGGGCAGGCAGTGCCCAAGCACCCTCGCTGGGGCAGCCGGCCTCACACCCAGCCCCGAGGCAGGGCATGGAAGCGCCCGGTCATCAGGGGCCCAGCAATTCAGCCAGCCCCACTTACCCTCCGTGCCCAGGGGAGAGAAGCAGACGACGCCCAGGGGTGGGCCCTGGAGGGAAGCCGCCTTGCTTGCTGGGCTGGATGGGCACGGTTCGAAATGCACCTTCAGGGCCCTTCCCGTCAGCGGGGACACGGGCTCTGCAGGAGGCAAAGGGGGCAGGCGGTTACAGTCCGTAGGAGGTGGAATGGGGAGGGGGGACCCACAGAAGAGTCAGCACAAGGCATCAGCTCTGCAAGGTGCTGGGCATGCAATGCCAATGGGGGACGGGGGGGGGGAGCGCTCTGGGACACCACCCTCCCCAGCCTGAGCCCCCTCACCTGTAGGGCCATCCTCTCGCCAGCCTCTCCCCTGGCTCTTCCCCCCTCTGGGGGCACTCGCCTTCCGAACTGGGGGTCCCAGATCCTCCACATCGCTACTGGTCTCTCTGGGGCTGAAGGGCTTCTTCACCCGGGGCGTGATCTTACCCGAGCGCAGCATCATGGTGCGGACGGGCAGCTGGGGGCGGTGGAGGAGACAGAACCACCCAGACCCTTCAAACAACCCACCCTGCGTGGTTAGCGGTCAGCAGTAAGAGACTCAAGAAGGCTCAGCCCCTTCTCCAGCGTCAGCGCCCCGGGGATCTCAAAGCGCATCGCAAACAGCGACTGACCCTCAGCGTTGGAGCTGCCAGACCGGATCAGACCTGGGACCCATCTCCGACAGCGGCCAGAACCAGATGCTTCAGAGGAAAGTGCAACCCCCAGCACACGCAGTGAATTGTTAAACTGGCTCCAGGGATGTCGGGGGGTGGGAATTCCCCCCCTACGTGAGGCTAACGCTTTTGGGGGAAACACCCCTCTATTCCCCTCCATAGAAAGGCCCTCACGAGCGACTCGCCCAAGGGATCAAGGCCTTAGCTGCGCCCAGGGCCGGCAGCAGAGCTTGGGGGGGTGGGAGAGTGAGTCACCCCCAGAGACAGAGGCGCTTGGAGAGGAGCAGGCCCAGCCAGCGGGGCACCTAGCAAGTGCCTTTGGAGCCATTTAGGGGGAGAAAGGGGCCAGGACCCCCGGAGGAAGTGGAATCGGTCCCTCCCCACTCTACAACAGCCCCAACCCAGGCCGGGCAGGAGAGAGCCGCCAGCCAGGCAGCGCGGACACGGCTATAGCCAGGGCCCTGGCTGGGAGCCGCAGCCGAGAGGCCACTGAATGAACGCAGCCCAAATCGCCTTCTGGCCAGGGGCAGGCTCGCTCCCAGGCAGGGGGGCCCACGGCTCCGGTGATGGTGAGGCAGAGGCGTCATGGCTGCCTTGTCACTGCCGGGCCTGCCCCAGACAGAAGGGGTCACACGGCCCTAGCGCCAGCTGAGATGAACAGTACGGTTACTTTAGTACCTGGCCCTCCCTAGCAGCCACATCTGCTCCAGCATCCCCCATGGGCGTGACCAGGGCTTTGGCTTGCCATCCACCTGCCCCAGGTGCAGGGATCGCCGCAAGTTCAAAGCGGCCGCTTGGCCCAGGCGTGAACCCCCTGCACAGGGGGCAGGGAGCCAGGCCTCAGGAGCAGGGCCAGGGGGACATCATGGTGCAACACAGGAGGGATCCCCATCAAGCCACCTCCTCTCCCTAGCTCAGTTCATCCCCAGGGTGTAAGCATAGCCCAGAGACTGGGGGGAGCCTTGTCTGCTCAAATAAAGAGACCAACACCTCTTCCCTCTTTCTGTAACTAGCACCAGGCAATACAGCAACGGGCGCTTCAGAAAACCAGCTGCCCGTTACAACAAACGGGGGGTCCTGGTTCCAGGAGAACCAGGATTTTGTTCAAGTCTCTCTGAGGCCTGAAAAGGCCCAGCCCAGAGCTGGTAACACTCACCTGGCCTAGAGACCACAGCACATCAGGAAGAGGGGTCATAGAATAAAAGCCCCCAGGGCACTGTTTTATTGGCAGGGCTGGTTAGTAACACAGCCCAGCTGGGTTTGCAGGTAATCTGGGTGCATTTAAAGGGACGGGAGCTTTAAAAAAAAAAAAAATCATTCTAACACACAGAGCCGGAGACTCAAGCATTCAAGCCCGAAATGAATAACGTACCCCAGCTTTCTAACGGGTGCATGCTAAGGCTCCAGAACGTGAGGGGTTAATAGCACTGGCCTGGGCACTAGGTAGGCAGGTGCTTACAAACTTCACCCACACAGCCCTGCCAATGCCCCTCGACCCTGACCCGCAGGCCCTGCAGCTATGCCAGGCTTGGGTCACCCCCCACAGCCCTGCCAATGCCCCTCGATCCTGACCCCCAGGCCCTGCAGCTATTCCAGCCTTGGGTCACCCCCCACAGACCTGCCAACGCCCCTCGATCCTGACCCACAGGCCCTGCAGCTATTCCAGCCTTGGGTCACCCCCCACAGCCCTGCCAACGCCCCTCGACCCTGACCCACAGGCCCTGCAGCTATTCCAGCCTTGGGTCACCCCCCACAGCCCTGCCAACGCCCCTCGATCCTGACCCCCGGGGACCTATTCCAGTGTGGAGCCCCTCCCTGCAGTTCTGCCGCTGCCCCTCAATCCCACCCCCACCCCCCACTCCAGTCCTGGGGTTCGTCAGCAGCAGCTGCCGGCCATGCCAATTTCTGGGGTGTTTCCCCTGCTACGATCAAATGTCCATGCTGGGCTGGGTAACGACCCGACAAAGTCATTTTACTTCTGACCTAAACCAGAAATTAAGACATAAGGGGCTAGTAGTTGGCGACGGTGAGTCAGGACTCTGAGTTCTGTCCCCAGCTCTGTCACGGACTCACTGTATTGCTGTGGCCAAGTCACTTCCCCACTCTGTGCCTCAGTTTCCCCATGTGGAAAGCAGGGTCAGTCTACCCCCCCAGAGGGACTGTGGGGCTGCGTTAATGGCTGAGCTCCTGGGATGGTGCATGCTCGCTGCAAATATTGTCACAAGTGGATTTGCTCCTTACACCATCTGTGAGTCCTGGGGAGACTGGACAACGCCATCTCGTTTCCTCTTTGATTCTGCTGGTGGTGGAGGGTTCACATGGGAGAAGGACGGAAAGATGAAACCCCCGTGCCTGGAGTCTGTCAGACGCACATTGCTCCAGCCCCGGAGCCCCCCAGACCGAGCCCAACTCTGTGGTCCTTGTGGTGCCGGTCAGATTCCAAACAGCCTGCAGGGGGCACCCCACTCCAGCTGTCAGGTGTCCTCGGGCCGGCTGGGTGTTTTCCATGGGGACGCGAGGCCCCCAGAAATGCTGGTGGATGTTCCATGGAGGCCTCAAAATACACAGCCCGGCATAAAATCTTCTGCTTCACTCACAGGTTCGTGGCCAGGCGACCTGCCATCAGGAGCCTGCGCTCAGCCCTGGGTGCCATCTCTGGGATCTGGAGTGGGAATTATTTCAAGCTGCAGCCGGAGCCTGAGAAAGAAGGGGTGGGAGGGGGCGATACCTGTGCGCGCACGTGTATATGTGTGTGCATACATGCACATCTGTGTGTGGGGGCGTGCACAGGCATGTTTGTATATGCACTCATGAGCCTTCACGTGTGTACCTGTGAGCAGGTGGGCGTGGCTGTGCATTATCACACATCCCCAGGCTTTACCACTCCCTCCCCCCCATCTCAGATTAGTTTAAAGATCACAAGATTTTTTTTTTAATTCACAACGTGGGGCTGGGTTTCTTTGCCTCCTGGCTGTTGAGTCTCCGGGTGTCACCTTTTCAAGCTTTCTGGGCAGCCTGGCAGGCGAGAAACGTGCAAGGGATTTAAATGCAAGCTCAGAGTCTGATGAAATCACCTGACTCCAAGAACTGGGGCTTCAAGGAAAGCACCTGGTATTGTGAGACTCAGGTTAAGCTCACGAGAGCTGGCCACATTGTTTCAAGGGCTTTCTCTGCCGGACACTCACAACCCCAGTGCCCCAGGCTGCTTTGCAATGGGAAGCCTAACAGATCCCAGCTACAGCATCCTCCTGCCCTGGACAGGATGGTTCCCTTTGCAGTGTATTCCCCAGGGCCATGGGCCAGCCCATCCCTTCCGAGGCTATTCCACACCTTGCTAGATCTCACCCTCAGGACCCATTTCCTGCTAGTGCCCAGCACCGTGCTCTGAATCCGCTCTCAACAGCATCCCAGAAGCAGCCGCATTTCAGCAGCCTGGTTAGCCATCTCTGGAGTGGCTGGAGCTATGAAATGTCAACACTTATTGCTTCCTGCACCCTGCAGCCTCAAGTAGCCAAGCGCAGTTGTTCAGCAGCCTTTGAGTCCCAGACTTCAGACACACATCCCGCTCTTTCTCATGGCGACTTGACGTTAGTTCTTTCTTGATGCGTTCTCACACTCGTTGGGGTTGGAACCCTCCAGCTGTCCCGGGGGGAAGGCAAACAATAGACGCTGTTGGTAGCACAAAGCCTCTAGGCCTGTCAAGGCCACAGCACATGCCTCAAAAAATCCACCGGGGACGACCAGGCCCCACCTCTGCGATGCAGACCCCGCTTAGCCGTGATTTCACAGCCTGTTCCCGTGTTGGTTTGTTGTCCTGGGACGGAGCTGCCCTTTGGCAAGCGCTTTGGGTCTAGGGGTGAGAGTTGAGTGTGCTGGCGGGGAAGGAGCGAGTCCTTCCGCCACTGTTAATTGTGACAGGGGCTTTCCAGCTCCTTTCCTGGAGATAAAGCCGCCTGTTTCGGGAAACAGCTCCAGATAAGGGAGCGGGGCCAGAGCGCTGGCTTCTGCCGAGCTCTACCCAGGCCAGTGCTTCCCTTTCTGCCTCTCCCGCTCCTTCGCTCCTTCCAGAGCGGGTCGGGCTGGGAGCCTGTTGGAACGCTGCTTTGCAAACAGAGAGCCATCAGTGTCATGAGTCAGGAGGCCTCAGCCCCTGGTTCCGGTGATAGCTGGGCGGGGCTTGCCTACTTCCTTGCCACCCTGCTGCTGTGACTCAGTGGGTGACACGCCCTGGAGCCCTGAGATGAGGCTGGCACGGAATCACTGGGGTGCAGGGCCCCACCTGAGCCAGGGGCTCCTGCAGAGTGATGGTGAGGCAGGAGCCCTGAGTGGCGGGGAGATGCTGGCTGGGGTCGGGGGGGGAGGCACATACAGCACCGATGCATGAGGCTTTAAGGCCTTTGCCCACTTTGCGTGGAGGGCCTTAAAGCTCCCCAGGGAGCATCTGTAAACGCAGGAGCTGGCCAGGGCGTTCCTGGGTAAGGCCCCAGTGCTGTGTGGAAAGGTGCTTCCCCGGGTATCTGAGAGCAGAGAACGCATTGGCTCCATGGGAAGGGATGTGGGGTTGGGGGTGCAGGAGCAAGGTCCCTACCCCCCTGGGATCATTGCAGATGTAAAGGCCGGAGCTGGTGCTTGCCCTGGCTGGATGCTGGCTCATTACTGACATTCTGGGCTCCAGTGGACGCAGAATTCTTCCTTTCCCTGCAGAGCAGCAGTTAAACAGCCCAGAGGTGGCTGGCAGAGAGCTGGGGCCCTGGACATGCCAGGCATGGTCCAGGCTCAGGCACTTGGCCAAACTGGGGGAGAAAGGCTTAAATTAAAAACACAGCGACATATTTTATTTTGCAAAAATAAATTACCCCAAAAACACAACACAGAGAAGGGATGGGGTGCAGCAGGGGAGCCCCGCATTGGCCTGACTCTCCCCGGGCGAGAGGCTGGGCAGTGCCCTGATGGAAGCAGGCAGGGGGGCTGCAGAGGGGTCTGGGAGGGAGCGCCACCGAGGGGCAGCTAGGGGCAAGTCTGGACTACGTGTTGGGTTAGCAGTGCATTCAGGAGGCATTAGGGAGGGCCCGCCTCCCGCTGTGCCCATCTCTGACCCCTTCCCCTTCTGCCCCCAGTCCTAGGAGCCTCCACCCCTGCGAGGCCCATCTCAGCACACGCCCTGCCCATTCCTGCAGAGCCCACCTGCTGGCATGTTCTGGTGTGTCTGTCTGCCCCCTCCTCCGACTGCCCTGGCCCTAGGAGCACCCTCACGGGCGGGGGCCACCCCTCTCTGGCTGTACCACTCCCCCTCAGGTGCCCATCTCATGGTGTGCCCATGCCCACCATGCCAGCTCTTGGGAGCCCACTCCTAGGCTGAAGGGAGCGTGTGGCTCCCAGCAGAAGCAGACAGTGGGACAGGCCGGGTGAGGGTGGAACAAGGACCCAGCCCAGCTGGGAAGCTCGCCTGGCATGCGCTGGTGGGCCCAGGCAACGGAGCTGGCTGGGCAGATGGAGTCCAGGGCACCTCCCGTGGGCTTGAGGGTGGGATTCCAGGGACTCAAGCGTTATCACTGCTGGGCAGAGCCGGGAGAGGAGCACACGGCAGGCGGCAGTGTGGGGTGGGGGGGGCGCAGCACAGCAGTGTCTGATCCCAGAGACTCGACTCCGAGCAGTGGCCAGGCGAGAAAAGCCGCCCAGCCCTGCACCAGGGAGAGGGGGCAGGGAGAGGGGTTAGTTACAGACAGACACAGACGCTTTGCCTCGGGCGCTCCAGACGAGTTCAGGTGTGTGAGGGGCGGGACTTGGGTGGGTGCTGGTTTGCACGGCGGGGATGCAGGGGCTGCAGAGTGAGCTTGTGTGTGTGTGTGTTTGCATGTGTAGGTTTGCACGATGGGCTAGCGTGTGCGTGTGTTTGCACGATGGGCTAGCGTGTGTGTGTGTGTTTGCACGATGGGCTAGCGTGTGCGTGTGTTTGCGTGTGTGTTTGCACAATGGGCTAGCGTGTGCGTGTGTTTGCACGATGGGCTAGCGTGTGCGTGTGTGTTTGCACGATGGGCTAGCGTGTGCATGTGTTTGCACGATGGGCTAGCGTGTGCGTGTGTTTGCGTGTGTGTTTGCACGATGGGCTAGCGTGTGCGTGTGTGTTTGCACGATGGGCTAGCGTGTGCGTGTGTTTGCGTGTGTGTTTGCACAATGGGCTAGCGTGTGCATGGCATGCTAGCAGATGTGGATGTGATGGCTGGGTTCTCACGCCGTTTGCACCCTGCCTGGCAGGGATTTCGCAGTGCCAGGGCTGCAGGGAGGTGGCTGAGCAGGGTGGCTAGTGTCTAGTAACTGGCTTGCTGCGAGGCTCACAGCCTGGATTTGCCCCTGTAGGGAGACACTGTTTTAAAGCCCTGTGTCCCCTCGACCACCAGGCGTGGACTCGAACATCCTGCCCTGTTGTGAAGCCACACTCCCATTTTACCCCTTGGACAGCATGGCTGGATCGGGGAGAGACTGGAGACTGAAATCCCCCCGTTCCCATTGCCCTCTGCCTTCCTCCGTCACTGCCGCCCCAAGCTGATCTCAGCAGCCGCTCTCCCATCAGCTCCCAGCTCTCACCCCCATGGCTGGCACTCGAGGTGAGGGTCTGGCTGCACTGGGAGCAAGGGGGTGACTTTAGCAAGGCTTGCATCAGGGCCTGCCTTGGAGCCAGCAAGCCCAGGGGTGAGTGGCAGGTGAAGGCAGCGTCGGTCAGACTGGCTGATCTGAGGGGAACCCTGCATTTTGTGGCATCACCCCGAGTATGTACGGGGGAGGGCTGGATGGAAACGGGTCAGGGCGCCCCCAAACCGCTCCCTGCCCGCCCTGTCCACGGCTGGGCTCTCCCCCGCTGCTGCGGGAGGGGGCTCCCACCCGGTCACGCCGGCCTGCCCCGGGCGCAGTGCCCGGCGATGTCCCGCAGCAGCATGTCCTCGCGTGGCGACCAGGGCCGGGCGTAGCTGCCACGCTGCAGCAGGATGCGGTTGAGCGTGTGCTCGTAGTTGACGTGGCGCCGGGCCATGAGCAGGTACTCGCGGCGCTCCAGCAGCGGGGGGCAGTCGCAGGCGTTGGAGACCCACACGTACTCCCGGTGCACCAGGGGGAAGCGGTTGCGGTAGGTGTGCTTCACCTGCACGTCGTAGCGCGTCTCCTGCCCGATCGGCCGCTTGGCCAGGATCCGGGCCCGGAACACTGCGGGCGAGAGCCGAGTGGGGGTGGGGCGGGGAGAGGGGGCGGAAGGGGAGCAACAGGCCAGGCGGAAAATCAGCTGCCGTGGGGGGCTGGGGAATGGGACATGGGGCCCTTCCTCCTCTAGGGGGCGCCACCTTCAATCCACCCCTCGGGGAGAACTGGCTGCCGTGGGGGGCTGGGGCATGGGATATGGGGCCCCTCCGCCTCTACGGGGCGCCATCTTCAATCCACCCTATGGCAGGGAACTGGCTGCCCTGGGGGGCTGGGGAATGGGACATGGGGCCCTTCCTCCTCTAGGGGGCGCCACCTTCAATCCACCCCACCGGGGGAACTGGCTGCCCTGGGGTGCTGGGGAATAGGACATGGGGCCCTTCTGCCTCTAGGGGGTGCCAGTTCTGAGCTGGCCCCAGAGTGTGGGGGGACTGGCTGGCTCAGGGGGTGGGGAATGGGACATGAGGCCTTTCCCCTATAGGGGGCACCAGCTCCAATCCACCCCACAGTGGGGAACTGGCTGCCCTGGGGGTGTTGGGGAATGGGACACGGGGTTCCCCTCTAGGGGGCACCGGCTCTGATCCAGCCCAAGTGGGGAGCCCGGGTGGCCAAGTTTTTTTTGTAAAAAAGACAATGTGGAGCCAAGCTCAGTGCCCACCGTGCCCCGGCAATCCCTTCCCGGGTCCCCTGGCCTGTCCCAGTCCCGCGTGGCCCCTGTACCTGCCCCCGGCTCCCTCTCCCTGCCGTGTTCACGCTCAGCCCCCCCACAGGGGGCTGGGCCAGGGGCTCTTACCGAAGTCACTCTGGCAGTAGTGGCGGATGCGCTGGGACTTTCCCTTGGGCGTCTGGCACCTGCCGCAGCTCCCTATGGGGCACAAAGCCAGGGCAGTCAGTGGGGGGTGGAGGATCGTTTGGGGGGGGATGCAGGCAACCCCGTTACCTGCCCGACAGCTGCAAGCCCCAGCGGAAGCCCCCAGGGGCCGAGGGATGCTGTGTTGTGTCTAAGGGTGGGGCTGGGAGGGAGCATTAGCAGCCCTGCCGGGTGGGCGGGGGGTCCCACATCCCAGCAGCCAGGGGAGCCCCATGGACAAACGGGCCTGGGGCCAGGAGGATGTTTGGCTCCGGATCCAAACTTCCCCCAGGGCCCTAGGGGCTCAGATCTGGGGCTTTGGTTCTGCCCGTTGGAGCGCTAGGGGCCAGGGCAGAACTGCAGTTCAGATCCCGGTCTGGAACCCCTCTGGGGTGGGGCGCTTCTGTAGCCCTGGCCTTCCCCCCTGCCACCCCCATGGTGCTATATCTGCCCCCCACAGCAGAGTTGGGATCCTGCTGCCAAGGTGGCTTCCTCTGGGCTCTGCAATATGCCCCCATGGGGTAGCATCCTGCCCCAGTCCACTCCAGTAGTACTGTCTGTCTATCGAGGTCCTGTCTGTCTATCGTCTGGGCCCTGGAGGGAAGACCCATGAGGACAGAGCAGGCACCTGTTTGCGATGTGTCTGTGGGTCCCCGCCGGGCCCTCTCCGTGGTCGTGTCCCTGATGCTGAGGTGCGTGGGGGGCACCAGTGTGGTCCAAGGCCCAGGCTGGGGCATGCCGGGTGGGTCCAGGTCGACCCCTCTGGGCTGAGGCTGTCGCAGGGGGCTGGAGTCACCCTGGAGGTGCCCGTGCCGCTCCCTGGGGAGCCAGAACTCGTACTCGATGCCCGGGTTCGGCTCCTGGAACAGGACCTGCTCGGCAGGGGGAAGACGGAGAGCTGCCTTTGAGCCCACCCATCAGGCTGCATGAGCCCCCCGCGTCCCAGCTCCCACCTGCCCGGGGGCATACAACAGTCCCCCCCGAGAGACCCTACAATAACGAACCAGGGTGTGCAGCCCAGCAGCACTCGGGAGAGACCCTACAATAACGAACCAGGGTGCGCAGCCCTGCACTCGGGGGAGACCCTACACACATGCTGGGGGAAGTGTGTGTGTGTGAGGGGGGCTGTTCTCCCATGCACCGGGGTCCCTGGGGTGTTATGCTGTCAGGGCACCAGGGAGATCAGCCTGTGAAGGGGAGACCGAGATGGGGAAGCCCCTAAGCCCAGCTCGCTCTCTCCCCCAGGCCCCCTCACCATGACGTGCAGATCCTCCTCTGTCGGCCCGGCTGCCTCGAGGGTCTCGTGATTGTCCGCGTCCCGGGCATAGCGCACCGTGGTGCCTGCCACCTCGTACGCGCCCGGCCAGTCGATGGCCCAGTCCCCGTTGATCACGTACTGCTGCTCCCCGTTCATCAGTGCTGCGGAGAGACACAGAGCGGCCCGAGTGAGAGAGAGGGAGGACTGGGGAGGGGACCTGGGGGGGCACAGTGTGAGGGTCTGCTGGGCTCGGGGGCGGGGGAAAGGCACTATGGGGTAAAGCTGCAGATGGTGCAATGGCATTGGCCTGTAGCTGTGCCATCTGGGGGGGGGAGGATGCACAAAGGGCCCCAACCCAGCATAGCTTGGCTAGGCAGTAAGATTTAGTGGTTACAGCAGTGGGAGGGAAGTGAGGTCTAGTGGTTAGAGCAGGGGCAGGGTGGGAATCAGGACTCCTGGGTTCCTTTCCCAGCTTGGGGAGGGAACTGGGGTCTGGTGGTTAGAGCGGGGGCATGGTGGGAGTCAGGACTCCTGGGTTCCTTTCCGAGCTTCGGGAGGGAAGTGGGGTCTGGTGGTTAGAGCGGGATGCGGTTCCAGCAGTCAGGACTCCTGGGTTCTGGCATAAAGGCACCTTCCCCAGGCACAATCAGGGACAATCTCGCTCTTGCCACTCCGGCTGTGGGACAGAGTCACTCCAAGTGGAATCATCATGTGGCCTGTGGAGGGGGGGCGGAGTCAAGTGAGGCAGGGCGGGGCTAACAAGAGGCCATGGGGTGGGGATGGCTCCTCCTACCTAGGTAGTTGCGGCTCCAGTCGGTGACCTTGATGCGCATCGCCCCTGCCGGGATCCTCGTCACGTTCTTGTACCCAAAGAAACCTAGGGTGGGGGAGGAGACAGGAGTCAGGGCAGAGCCTGGGCATGTGGGAGGCTGGTTCCTCCCGGCGCTGCAGCAACGTGTGGGCTGAACCCAACGGCGCCGCCCCAGGGGCAGCGAGAGGCCAGCTCGTCCTGCACGGCTCCCCCAACTCGTGTCCAGGGCGGGGAAGGAAGCGAAGGCTGCGGCGTGGCTTGGAGCTGGCGGGATGCCAGTTTCACAGGCACATGCAGGCATGGGGGGCGCTGGATGGCTGGGGGGGCTTAAGTGGGGCAATGGGCCTTGGGATCCCTTCTCCCAGGGGTCACCATGTCCAATCCAGCTCCGAAGTCACCATCACGGCCACCCTGGGTGGAAGCCGTCGATAGCAGCCTCTGGAGAGGCCCAGGACTGAAAGGGGCTCAGACGGCCCTCTGCCCCCCTGGAGGGCAGGGCTCAGACATGCTTTGGGGGTGTAGAAGGAAGCTTGCCCTGGTGCCGCCCTGTGGGGAAAGACCAGCAGCTTTCTGGGGGCTCAGCCCTTTCCCCACAGGGGCCAGGCCTCTTCTCCTGGCGTCACTAGGGTGTGGCTGCCAGGGCCGTGCCAACGTGCAGCTGGGCACCCTCCTTCCCTCCCCTGCCGCTACTCACGGGGGCCTGGATTATTTGCGAAGCCACTAGCAAGCCTGTTACTGTGCAGGGAGGGGCGTGGTGGGCACTGAAGCCTGGCACCACAGCAAATGGGGTTTTGCCTCCTGTTCCCAGAGCTGGTCCCCATCTCTGCAGCACGCCCCATCCCCCCACGCCAGCCCATCCACTCTATCAACTGCAAGGCTTGTGCATTGCCGTCGAGCAATGGGGTCGCTCAGTTCCTCCTGGCCAGTGGGTTTGTCCCGTTTGGTGTCAGGAAGAGGATACGGTGCCCGGAGCAGGAGGGGATGGGCTGGCTCCGAAGGGTGGCGGGCGGGGGGCAGGGCGTGCGGCGGAGGAGACAGAGAGGGAGCGTTGAAGCCAAGAGCCAAAGCATTCACCCCTGGAGAATCAATCACCGGAGGAGGGGAGCGCGGCCCGGAACACCCTCTGCACGAAGAGGCACGAGTCATTCCTGCCATCGCACAGGCCGCAGGCGTCGCTCCGAGAGCCGGACCCCAGGATCCCGTCGCAGCCCGCTGTCTGGTGGGAGGGGAAAGCGGGCGTCAAGAAGCGCGAGGTGGCTGCACCGGATATCCCTCCCCAGCACGGGACGACCCCCAGAATGAGCGGGGGCTGGGTCAGCCCGGAGTGCTGGCACCTCCCCGCATTGCCAGGGCTGGGACTCACCCACCTACGCCCCCTGAATGCAGGGTCTGCGAGGTGGGTGAGCCTTATCCAGCATCCCTCGTTGCCGTGGCGTCGGCAACCCCTTGGGTACCAGGCACAGGGCGAAACCCCCCCTCTGCCTGGGTACGCCAGGCACTGGCAGACAGTGCTGGTCCCAGTCCGGGGCCCCCCACGAGCCCCATGCCCTGCAGCACCAAGCGAGCCCTACCAAGCACTGGCCGCTGATGCAGAGATCCGGGGAGTCCGGGCTGCAGCGGGTCCCGTCCAGCACTCTGCCGAAGGTGTAGTAGAAATTGTGTCCCACCGCCAGGCAGTTCAGGTCGCAGAGGTTGGGCGCTGGAGGAGAAAGCCGGGGATGGGAGCGGTTCCAGTTTAGGGGCCAGGAAACCAGCAGGCCCTGCCGTTCAGCAAGGGCGGCTGGAGAAGGGCCCCCAGGGTGAGAACGGAGAGGCAGCAGAATGGCTGTGCCACCGCGGGGGTGGTTTCGAACCCAGGACTCACCTCCATGAAAAGGAACCCACTGGAACCTCGCCTGGCTCCCCAGGATGGGCTTGCCGTCATACAGGGAGCACTGCACGGCCCGGAAGGGCACCGAGCTGCCAGGACACTCCTGCAAGGGAAGGGCACAGGGCTGCAGCCTCACAGGGGGGCGACCTGCCTTGCCTTGGCCATCGGGCACGCGAAGGAATGGCAAAGTGCCACCGAGTCCCGTCTGTACTAGCAGAGACCAGCGGGCAGGTTATCATGCACCCAGCAGGGGCACCTGTAAATGGGGCAAGTGGCGGGGAACTGCAGGAGGCCCAGAATCAGGGAGAATGCCCATGCCCAGTGCTGGTCTGGATGCCTGAGCTCTGTCTTTCCAGGGAGTCAGATGAGACATGAGTCTCCAGATCAGAGCAGCAGAGGGGCTGGGCTGGACAACACAGGAAGGAACCACCCACCACGGGGCTCTGCCACCGAGACAGGATGGAGCATGACCCAGTTGTGGCAGCGACGGACAAACCTCCCAAGGGAATGGGGCAGAGAAGCGGCCAGCCGCTGGCATCCACCCCTCTGGGGGCTGCAAAGTTCACGCGAGGAGCGGATGGAGAAACTGAGGCACAGAGAGGCAGGACCCAGCCAGGCCAGCGGTAGAGCCAGGAACAGAACCCAGGTGCCCGCTGTCCCGGTCCAACACCCTACCCATTGCACCCTGGTGCCTCGCTCTGAGCTGGCAGCTCCGTGTTGCTGTGGCATCGTGTGTTGGGGGGACGACACAGTGCGGATATAAACTGGTTCAGATGCACCCCTCCCCCACTCCAGCCGCCGTCGCTCTGGTGCACACTCACGTGCAGCTTGCACACGCGGTACTGCCGGGGCTCCCCTGCACACAGCTCCTCTTCAGGGAACCTGCGGTAAAAGGACCTTAGGACAGTGGCTCCCAAGCTGCCAGGCCTTCCATCTGGGTGGCAGGGCAATGGCAGGGTCCCATCATAGGCCCTGTGCCCACGGGAGGGAGCCGGCGGGTGACGGGGCAGGGATTCCGGGATGGGGCGTGTGGGGTGCGGGAGCTGCGATGACTCTCTGGAAGAATGTGTGGTGGTTCCAAGAGGAAAACAAGGCGGAAGGAAAAGGGCCCGAAATCCCAGGCAGGGCACAGAGCCAGACGCCTGCCCAGCCAGCCATGCCTCCCGGCGCTAGCCACGGCGAGCACTGCTGCTTGCCCAGACGCTCGGCTGACATCCCCGCCGAGGCTGGGGAGCTGGGGGAGTAGGGCAGAGCGTGCCCTGAATCACGCCCGATCTCGCCAGGCGCCTCCCCGCCTAATCAGGGCAGAGATAAGGAACCCGCTCACCCACGGACTCTGGCCAACCGGCACAGACAAATCCGCAGGCCTGCACCCCGCCCCTGTCTGCCTGGAATCCCAGCCACAGCCAGGGGTCCCCAAAAGGGGACCGATACCCCGTGTGCGTCATGGATATCAAGGGACCATTGGGATCATCTCGTCTGATCCTCAGAGTCAGGTTGAGCCCAGTCACTTGGAGGGAGGGGGTGGGGGTACGAATAGCGGGGGAGGGGGTTGGGGGGCAGCTTATTCTGCCCAAGTTTAAGCTTTTTTATTTCTCTCCCCACCTAGAAATCAGGCCAAGCCTGTGTATTTTCCATGCAAAAATGTCAAATGAAGCTTAAAAAATTTCATCTGCAATTTTGTGCAGGTGGGAAAATACAGAACATTCCCCCCCCCCCCCCCAAATAAAAATTACTTTCCTTCCACATTTTCCCATGGAATTTTTCAGATTAACTAAAAATATTGTTATTCTCCTTCCCCTGCCCTCCAAAAAAGGGGGAAAAAACCCCAAATCAAACTTTTGTCATTAGAACCCTCCCCCCAAGTTTCAAGCCAAATTAAAATGCAAAGTCGTCGGAAATGCCCCAGAGAAAAATATTTTTCCATGAGAACCTTTCGGGCCGCTGGAGAAATCAAGCCTGTTCCTTGGATCCCTGCCGGCTGGGCCATGGAATCCAGGCCAGCCTTTGCCCAGGACTGGCGCAGCTGGCCATGCTGGGCGCAGGGAGGTGAGAGGGTTCGGCTGACGGCCTTTGGGCAGAACCAGAGGTGGATTCCTGGGCCTGCCTGGAGTGGAGCCGGTGGTCTCCAGACGTGCATGTCGCTTTGCATCGGGGTGCGTTGCAGAGGGGTCATTCGCACCCTGGGCAAAGACCTCTCCCATGCCCCACATCAGCACTGGCCCTGTAATACCAGGCTGAGATGCCCTGTGTCTGGTCCCTGGGGGAGGACGCCGTCATGCCTGTTCCATGCATGGTTACGCAACATGGTGAGGGTTCCCATGGTTCTCCCCCCCGGATCCTCCACTCACCGGATGCATTTCCTGGTGCGAAAGGAGGCGCCGTCCCCACACGTACTGGAGCACGCACTCCAGCCTCCCCAGGGCGTCCATTCCCCATGGCCTGGCTGGCGCCTTTGGCGGGGCTGAGGCTCCAGGCCGAACGCCAGGGTCCTGCTGGCTGTCCCCTACTTAAAGGAAGATGACAAAGTCACCCCTCCCGGATGGGCCAGTCCCTCCCAGCCCAGGCCTGCCCTGTGCCCCTCCAGTTATACAAGCAACATTTCCCACAGGGGCCCCTCAACCCACACCAGGAGGGGTGCCTCAGTCCCTCTGCCCTCAGATCCTCCCCCGCCCCACACCAGGAGGGGCTATCTGCCCCCCCCCCATACTCCCCCTGCTCCACACCGGGAGGATCACCCACGTCCATCCACTCCCTTTGCCCTGTCGCCAACACGCCCAGCCCAGTGCAGAGATGGCAGATCCCCAAGAACCTTCCCCGGTTATTTTGTTACACAGTCCCTGGAAACCGCCGTGCAGCTGGCACCAGCCCCCCAGGCTCCCTGCCAGTGGGGCATCCTGGGACACTCGCCATGGGGGGAGCACAGCTGTAGCACGCTGGAGAGAACTGCTTCCAATTGAACAATTTTGGGGGGGGGCGCGGGCTCAGCGTCAGGCGTGTGGTTTCCATTCACGGTTTGGATGGAGGCCACGGGCAGCTTGTAGCTGTAACAATAAGTCTGAGATCTGCCCAGTTTGGGCCACTTGAGAAGGCTTGGGAGGCGGGGGGGAGGAAAGGGGGGAGTCCGGGCCACATGGCTTCTCTGGTGGAGTCAACATCCTAGATCTCCCCCACCCCCACCCCTTTATTTTTGCTGGGCAGTTATCATCACACAGTGAAATCATCCCCCTCCTCCTCCCCAGCCCTGTAATTGTCTCCTTCTCTGGTTTCTGTCCCTGCCACTCCTTTCACTGAATCCTGCAGGATCCCTCCAGTGCCTGCTTTATCTCTGCTCCCGACGTTTGGAATGAAGGTTCCTTCCTGGCTTCCCATCCCCTGGCTCCCCCCAGCCAGGCCTGTCTCCCCTTCCAGTCCCCTGCCCCGCTATCCATTGTCCTTCTCAGACAGTGATCGGGACGGGGTGGAGGGACCGGCCTGGGGAGAAGAGTGATGAGCCCCAGGCTGGAGAGTCCAGAGCCAGATCTGGAGGGGAACTTCCCCAAAGGTGGGCGGGGGGGAGATGGATACACCTTTACTTGTACTGCCCCTGGCTGAGCAGCCCCAGGGGGAGTGGGACGACATGCTAGCACCCTGCAGGGGTGTGACTCACAAGAGCTCAGCCACCACCATGAGAATGAGATAGATAGATAGATAGATAGATAGATAGATAGATAGATAGATAGATAGGAATCTATTACACTGGTACTCCCTTTGCCCAGAGCTGGAGGCAAGAACATAAGAACAGCCCTAATGGGTCAGATCAAGGGTCCATCTAGCCAGTGTCCTGTCTTCCAACAGTGGCCAATGCCAGGTGCCCCAGAGGGAATGAACAGAACAGGGAATCATCCAGTGAACCATCCCGTCGCTCATTCTCAGCTTTCTGCAAACAGAGGCTGGGGACACCATCCCTGCCCATCCTGGCTAATAGCCATTGATGGACCTATCCACCATGAACTTATCTAGTTCTTTTTTGAACCCTGTTATGGTCTTGGCCTTCACAACATCCTCTGGCAAGGAGTTCCACAGGTTGACTGTGCGTTGTGTGAAGAAATACTTCCTTTTATTTGTTTTAAACCTGCTGCCTGTTAATAAACCTGCTGCCTATTAAAAGCTGGAAGCTGGAAGGAACCTCCAGGCCCAAATCAGCTGCTGCGTCTCTGGGACTCCCAGCTGCCGCATGCCTGGGGCCGGGTGATGGAAAAAGCAGATCTCCTCCCCCCCACTGCACATGGAGTCACACGCATGAGCACACACACGTGTGTGCAGGCACACATAGAATGCCACACAAATATCGTACACACATATGCGTGCATGGGGCTTTGCAGGCCTTGTACTACACACATACCCACACGCACGCACACACGGATGCACGGGGGCCTGACCACCGGGAAAAGCCAAGTGCCAGAAGCTGGTGAGAGACACGGGGGTGGGCTGCGAGTGCAGAGCATCCCCCATGTGGAAGCTGACCCACAAATGAGCTGTGCCAGGGTCCAGCGGTCACCCGCTCTGGTGGCAAACTACAGCCTTCCACCCCAGGCCTTTCTTTGATGCTCCCTGGGGCAGCTACCACCCCTGGCATTCAGCTGGACCCTGGGGGCTCAGCCCCCCTCTCACTCAAACGTCCCCTGGAGCTGTGGGCGGAGCCACCCGTGCAGGAGACCAGGGGGCAGATGTACCCAGGGCCCCATACGTGGTTGCCCTGCAACCTTGTGCCAAGTAGGCACAGTGCACAACTGTTGTGACCAGATAGTGTTTGCTCCAGGATGCAGAGCTCTGCCATGCTGGCAGAGAGGAGCCCCTGCCTGTGTCCTTAACCCAGCCCTAGGACAGGAGTGATGATCTCAGTGCCGTGGGTGGGTCCCTGCCTCTGTGGTTAGGGTGGGGGAGGATGCAGGCCCGTTTGGTAATTTGCACACCAGTTACTTCTTGTCTGCAGCATGTTTCCTGGGGCCTGCGTAGGGCCCTCTCTGCCACGCCCAGAGCTGGGATTCCCAGGGCCCCTTCACACCCACCACTGCTGCGCTGGGTTAGATTCTTCCTTTGCTGACGGGCTCCCCTTGTGACACCCTCCCTCTCTCTCCCCCTCGCAGTGCAAATGCTGCTCAGAACTCAGGCACCAGCCCACGTGGAGTTTACAGCCGAGCTGGCCTGTAAAGTGTGATCCCGTGATCAGAGCAGCAGGAGGGAGCCAGGACACCTGGGTTCTCACCCCAGCTCTGGGAGGGGAGTGGGGCGGGGGGGTGTCTAGTGGGTTAGAGCAGAGTGGGACTGGGAGCCAGGACGCCTGGGTTCATCTCTGGCATTAACTTGCGGTGTGGCTTTGGGCAAGTCCCTTCTGGGACACAAATATGCCCTGGCAAGGAACATTACATCAGTGTCCAGCCATCACACTATTCACTGACAGTCTCTCCCAACAGCGAAAACCCAGCCTCTTCTCTTGGGGAGTGTGAGACGTCTGGAAGGGAAGCATCTGTACAGATACGTAACACGCAGAATATTGGGTTCCAAACCCCGGGGTGGGGGGGGGAGAGAGAAACTTGTCACCTGCAGCAGGGTGGGTCTCCGAGCTGACTCAATGCACACTGACAACAAGTCACACCTGTTAGCTCGGCCCCGCCCTGGGTAGTGATTCCTCCTGGCCGCCTTGGGTAACCCCCAACAGTGTCACACCTGCCCTGCGCTGCGGCTCACTCGGCACCCCCACACAACTGGGCCGATCAGTATCAGCTCTGTGGGCATTCTGCACTGGGCCCTCTGGGCGCCGGCCGGAGAATTCCAAGGCCTGGGCTGTTAACTCCCCAGCAGATGCTGGGATTAATGAGCTACGGGCAGAGCTGGAAATAAACAGGGAGATGGGGTGGGGGGGTCATCTGGCAACTGGGAGAGAAGCAAACGGCCAGGCCTGGCTGGATCAATTCACTGGCTCCTGGACAGGATCTCCCAGGGGTCTCCTATGCTGGTGCCCAAGCCACCCCACCCCAAAGGGGGGACCAACCCAGCGACCTGACCCTGATGAGCTGCCAACCCTGCCTCCCGAGGAGCAGACAAGAGGGGAGGGCTGGGTCAGCCAGTTAAAGAAAGACAGAGCAGCTCTGGCTGCAGAGGAATAAAGCAGCTGAGAAGAGAAGAGACTATTTCCTGTATGACGAATGGAACATGCCTCCTGCAACGGAGGCCCACTACTGCTGGAGATGGGGCCCTGACCCCTTGTGGCTGCTACCGATCCCCCACCGCAGGGGCCTGTTACTCCCAAAATCTTGGCCAGCTTCCAGCTGGAGGCATTTACATCCTATCTCCCCAAAATCCCCTCTGTAGCTGTTGTTGCTTTGTGTTGTCAAACAGCTGCCAGCTCTCACTCCAGCGGGGGTTGCATTGCAGTGGTGGGTGGGAATGCTTAGATAAGGACAGATGAATTGCTATCTACCAGTCAGTTAGCCAGATATAGTGGCATTGTGACCCTTGGCAAGTGCTTCAAGTTATTTTTATTTCCAGAGCTTTGGGAGGGCGGAGACTCCCATGCTTCTAGGCATGAGCCAACCCGTAAATCACAGGGGTCAGGAAGGAAATTTCCAAGGGGGCAGGTTGTTCCATTACTGTCACTGCAGGGTTTCGCACACCTACCTCAGAAGCAGCTGGTGCTAGCCACCATCAGAGAAGGGACACTGGGCTAGATGGGCCGTGGGTCTCATCCTGTCTGGTAATTCCTATGTTCCTCACTTGGTGTATATCTAGGCCTATTATCTGTTAGGGGTCAGCGGGGTCCTGCAGTTACAGGTGGTGATACCACGACGTACATCAATGGGGACAGATATCTTGGGAAATGTTCAGATCCTACATGACCCCCACTCTGCTGCAGGCTTGGGCCAGGCCTTAGGGAAGGTCTGTCCTCCAATCTGACCTGTCCACGTGGTCTCTTCTCCTCCACTTACCTGAGTGCTGCCGATGCCCCAGCCCACACTCAGCCAGGTCAGGAGCAGGACGGTCCCCAGGGAACTGTGCCTGCAAGAAGCCAGAGAGAAAACTCAGCGTGAATTCCAGAGTTTGCCCTGCCCGGCATGTCAACCCCCCAACTCCCCGTTAGGTGGCAAAGGCTCCCACATTGCCTGCCTCATGGCACTTACACAGACCAGGCAAAGGAAGCATTTTGAACCCCCATTTCACAGAGGGGGAGACTGTGGCCCAGGGAGGCGAGTGACTCACCTAGGGTCACAGAGAGAGGCCGTGGGGGAGCTGGGAACTGAACGCAGGTCCCAATCCAGTACCTGACCCACTGTCAGTCACATGCTGGCCCCGCGCGTCCCTGAGATGCCATGGGCCGAGGCTGCTGTTCCAGCCCAGGCAGGCATGGGGGGAGCCAGCGAGAAAGGCCAGGCTGGTGTAATTCTGCAGATTCAAGGGGGCTGGAGAAGCAGCCAAAGCTATTGAGGTTGGCCGGTTCTTAGAGGCACCTGAGGGAACAGGGATGGGGGGGCCTTCTCGGGAGTGTGTGTCCCCCCCTTAGTTACCCACATTCATGTCTACAGGTGCATAACAGACACAAGGGAGACAGGAGCCCTGCGAAGCAAGCTTGGCTTGGTCCCGGCCCTCCCCCCCGGATTTCGGCCTGAGCCAGACAAGACACACAGAGATAAGACAAGACACAACAGCTCAGGTGTGAGATCATCAGGGAAGGGAACAAGGTGGGGTGGATTCCTACAATCCAGTGGGGGTGGCGGGCTGACTGGAGATGGGAGGGGGGGGCTGGGATGAAAAATGTGGGGCCAGATTTTGACCCTCTCCCCTGCCCCTCCAAAATAAATGTCTTTGTTTTGGGGGGTTCAGTTCAGACCATTGTGGGGGGTCAAGCTATGAAAGCTGCATCCACATCTGGGTTCCAGGTCCAGACCCCACAAATCTGGGGGTGTTTGACTGTCGGGTGAGGTTAGGCCCTTGGCAGAGATGTGGGGGGGGTGTGGGAGGGGGAAATGGGGGGGCTGGGAGGGGCGGAGGAGACAAGAGCGGAGAGGCCAGCCGCCTAGGACGCGGGCCAGCCTTATGGGTCGGGCACTGGCCTGCGTCTGGGACCTAGGTTCAGTCTGAGTCTGTGCCACTCCCCGGGTGAGCTTGGCCACTCCCCAAGTCACTTTTCATTCCCCATGGGCTGTTCAGCTCCTGGCCACTCTGCCTGCCTGCAGAACAGCCCGTCTGGGAGGCATTGCTCCGTTGCCCCCCCCCCGTGCGGCATTGGCAGGACAGGGCAGAGGTAGGATCCTGCGGCCCCCGCTGAGAACCGAGCTGAAAGCGAGAGGTGAAACCCTGAGCCGCTGGTAGAACTGTCAGGGCACTCAACAGCTCCTGCTCCGGGCTTCGGGGCTCTTTTCCTGGGAGATGAGTCACGCGGCCAGCCTGGGATGGCTCATGCCACCAGCTCACCTTGGGTTCTAGAGCACTTCAGAACTCAGGGCAGGGCTCCGGGTGCCTGGGGCTGCACCCCAGACAGACACACACAGGTACACAGAGTCCCTGCCCCAAAGGGCTTGTGATCTATGGGAGCGCCGGACTGCGACACCTGCCTCCCCGTCAGCCTATCCTGCGGGTTCTAGAATTTACAACCCCTGAGAAATGAGCCGGGTTCTAGAATGTAGACGCCCCGGGCTCACATGGGGTACGCGGAGGCTGGGTCCCCTAGGCCTGCACAGGGTTCCAGAGCGCACACAGGTCTGGGCCAAAGCAACAGGCTCACGTGGGGTTTTCGAACCCGGTGGGTTCTAGACTGCACCCCAGTTAGAATTCCTTGAGCTCTAAAACATAGAACCCTCCTCAGAACAGCGTCTGGTTTGAGGGATTCCGGTTCCATGCAGGAGAGAACAAGCAATTAGTTTGCCTTGAAAAATTCTATCTTAACCACCCCTCCTCCCACCCCTTCTGACCCCCAGCTGCCCTGGGTTTTCCCGCAGAGTCACAGAAGTTCGGGCTGGGAAAGTCCTGCTGGAGTGTTGTCTCCATCCGTCCCTGCTCCCCCTGCCTGGCTGACGCAGGGAGCTTTTCGAGATGAGTCCCTACATTGTTCAAAAGATGAGTCAGACATGGAACAATCAGAGGTGCGACTGGGGGTATCGTTTTGTGTTTGGTCCCATAGCAGGCCCCAGAACAGACACGTTGGCCAGAGCCCTGCCAGGACGCCAGCCTGGGCTGGTGATGGTTTCACTCGCTGGGCCAAACCCTGCCCTGCTCTCGAGTGATACACAGGGAAGGAAGGTAGAATCCAGCCCGTGGTGTAGAAACAGGGCCCCAGTCCTGCAACCGGACACACACTGGGCCTGATTCTCCTCTCACTCACGCCAGAGGGGGATGGCATGGGTGAGTGAAGGTGGCAGGATCAGACCCATTCACCACCGTGAGATGCCCTCTGGGTGTGCCAGTGATGGCGAGTTAATGCCATGCCCGTGTGTGAGGGTGCTGGGGGGGCAAGGATCCCCAGCTCCTGGAGGTACCTTTGTTATCCTATCCTCACTGCAAAGTCACAGATCAGAGACTGCAGCCAGCAGATCACCAAGCCCTCCATGTGGCAGCTGGAGCCGGGTGATTTGCAGAAGCAGGGCACAGAACATCAGTGGCACCAGCAGCTGGCACACCAGCTGCCCCTGCCAGGCCGGAAGGGGTGCCATCTACATGCAGAGAGCACCCACGGAGTCCATCTGAAGCTATGGGGTCAGGTGGGGGGAATTCTCTTCTGATCTCACAGGCTCTGGTCGAGCGGGTTTTATTGGAGCCCGAACTGTTTCCGATTCAGTATCACAGCAAGCTGCAGCAGCCGGGGATGCTCCACCCGGGACATGACAAGTTTTCTCATGTGGCTGGGATGGTGGGGAACGGGACAGGATGGGGAGGACAGGATGTAAGAACCCTCCCAGCTTCTAAATCACAGTGAAACCCAGACACCACACCCTGCAGCCTGCCCCCACTCTGCTTTAAGCAAGCACCTTACGCTGCCCCCAGCCCAGGTGAGTTGAAGCTCATAGACCATCTCAGTGGCCTGCCTGGCTTTTGCTGGCTGAGGGTTCCCTGTGCTATTACTCTCTCTAAGCTGAGGGTGGGGAAGGAGTACGATCAAGGAGTTAGAGACGGGCAAGGACTGGGAGTCAGGACTCCTGGGTTCTGTTTGCTGACCGTGAGCAAATCACTTCCCCGCTCCGTGCCTCGGGTTCCCCCATCTGTACATTTGGGGTGAATAACATTTGTGGAGGTGGTGGGGCTCCCATGGCTAGTGCTCGCCCACACATTTGAAGAACCTTCAGGCGACAGGGGCTAGAAAAGGACAGATTGCAAAGGGTTAATAAGAAAGAAATACTCTTACCAGACGCTCTGGGAGCCCATGGTCAGCTGGCTGGATGTCAGACCCTCCTGGCACCCCTGGCTTTCTGTGCCCGCTCCTCTCCTTCCGCTAATCCTGGCATCAGGTGGGTGCTTTGCCATCCCAGCTCCCACCTGTATCTCCTGGATGCTGGTGGCTTGGGCTCACTTCCCAGAGGGGAGCTGGGAACTAACTGTGCCAGGTGCCCGACTTTCTCCCAAAGATTTCAGCGTCCGATCAGACCTGAGCACCCGGACGGGGACTTGCACGTGGGGGAGAGTCCAGCCCAGCTCCCCTCTCCAGAAACTCCTGTACTCTCATTCCCAAGCAGCCTGTAGCCTTGGAGTCTGGCCCGCATCGGCTTGGACGGCGTCCCATGTGCTGATCCTCCGGGGGGGAGGGAGGTGGGGGCCGTGCCGGGGTAACCAGTTCCTGGGTTTAGCTGTCCCAAAACGCTGGAGGAAGGTGGGTTCTCATGCTGGATCTCCCAGCCACGCAGTGTCCCGTGCGGTTCCTCGGGGATGGAGCTAAAGCCCTTTTCCTTTCTCCTCCCCTTACGTCGTTTCACTTTTTAATGCTCTGATCCTGCCTACAACAACTGGTGTTATTAATATTCATACCCAAAGGTGCACATGGCCGTCCCGGTTTCCCACTTAACCCTTAAAGGCCCATGCTGCTCTGATAGGGAACACACCACGGCCGTGCCCTTCCCTAAAGGGAGCAGGGCAAACTGGCCGGGCGAGTCCGAAGTGTTTTCCCCTTTCGGAGGAAAATCCTGAAAACCCCCCCCGCTGATTTGTTTCTATCGGGTCGGGTTTGGAGCCAGGGCAGAAAGGGTAAGTTAACTCTTTGATCCATGGCATTTTCCAGGCTGTCGGCCAAACCTGCCTTCAGGAGGTGTTGGGCCATATCAGCTATAAATAAATACACAGGGCCAAATTCAGAGCTGGTGGAGGAGGGTGCCAAGCAGGCCAAAGCTAGGGGTGATGTAAATGACTTGTGGAAGCTCCTCAGCTGGGGTCACACAGGCCTGCTCCTGATCATGCTTCAGCCCCGGTGTAAATCAGGACTAACCCATGGGAGAGGATGGAGCCGCCCCGAGGTTAGGGAAAGGGGTCGAAACGTAACTGACAGCCAGCGGGGGGTGCAAGGGATGTGATTGAGGTCTATAAAATCACGAGTGGTGTGGAGAAAGTGTGTAAGGAAAAGTTATTTACTTGTTCCCATAATATAAGAACTAGGGGCCACCAAATGAAATTAATGGGCAGCAGGTTTAAAACCAATAAAAGTAAGTTCTTCACACAGTGCACAGTCAACCTGTGGAACTCCTTGCTTGAGGAGGTTGTGAAAGCTAGGACTACAATAGGGTTTAAAAGAGAACTGGATAAATTCATGGAGGTTTAGTCCATTAATGGCTATTAGCCAGGATGAGTAAGGAATGGTGTCCCTAGCCTCTGTCTGTCAGAGGGTGGAGATGGCTGGCAGGAGAGAGATCAGTGATCATTACCTGTTAGGTTCACTCCCTCTGGGGCACCTGGCATTGGCCGCTGTTGGCTGACAGGATACTGGGCTGGATGGACCTTTGGTCTGACCTAGTATGGCCGCTCTTATGTTCTTAACTCACCGCTGTGAGGAGGGGAAGAGGACAGGGTAGGGGGAGAAACAACCTGAGACTCCATCCAGTCCTGCCTGCTGCTCCGTGACACTCACAGGTGGGCCAATCAGTGCAAGTTACACTGACGGCCACTAGGCCTTGTTCTGTTCACACTGACACCAGCGGCTCCTGGCATGTGCTCTTGATTCACACTGGTGCCAATGACGGGGGGTCAGGCCCAGTGGGCAACCCGCTGCACAGCCCCCCCCCACCCCCGTGGAGTTTGGCCCACTCCCCCGCCCCGTGCAGCCTCTGCCACTGCTTGTGGCTTTGTTGTTTCAAACCCAACTTGTTTCCCGCAGAGTGGAGCTCCTGCCCCTTCCTGCAGGCCGGGGTTACAGCAACCCCTGAGCTTCCCAGGCAGTGCCGGGGCTGAGCTCGGTGCCGGCTCATCCCAGCCGCAGGGACACCCTGCTTCCATGCAGTTCTTTAACGCAAGGTTCCCCTGCCTGCTAGGCCTGTCGGAGGGGCTCGGCCCAGCTGCTGAACGAGTCCCCGCGTGGAGGCCAGCTCCGCTCTCCCGCGCGCCTGGGGGTCTCCTCGTCGAGCATTACTGGGACTATTTCACGGAGAGGAAGGGACGCGCCCATGCTCACGGGCAGAGGCAGCAGCAGAGCTAGGAAGAGCTCTCAGGAGGCCCGACTCTGGCCCCCTTCTTACCCCTGGACCCTACTCCTCTCCCAGAGCTGGGAGCAGAACCCAGGAGTTCTGACTCCCAGGCCCAGCCCCCTAGACAGCATTCCTGTCCCGTCTGTGAAAGCCCCAGGCCCATCGCAAGGTAAAGCGAGGGCCCGTCACCCTCCACGGCCCTGCCCCAGGGACTCAGCCCCTTCCCCCTGCAGCCCAGCACGACTCGACTTCCATCCCCTAGATCTTCCATCCCCACGTACTCCCAGGGGCTCCACCCCACAGCCCCAGCAAGCCCCTGGCAGGCGGAGAACCATGGCCCACCCCCCAGCACTACCCTGCTCTGCTGGGGGCGCTCGCTCCCCCTAGCCGCCTGGGAAGGTAGGGCAGATCTCGACCCCCTCCCCTCCAAGGGCAGGGATCAAGCAGTGACAGGAAGCTTGGGGGGCATTTTTATTTCTCCCGTCCCTGCTGATGCACCCCACCCCCACCGCTATGTAGGATTGGAAGCAACCAGGGGCATGGGGGGTAGGGACTGGGAGCGGGAGTGGGGGCGGTTCTTGGAGGAGCTCAGTTCCCACCAGCCCTCAGGTGCCGAGTGCTGGGGCTGGGCTCAGAGCCCATCCCAGACAGGTTGTTTTTGGTGCTGTTCCCTGCCCCACTGCAGTGCGAAGCCAGCAGGCAAACCCCGGGAGGTGACCGAGATACGGGCTCCAGCCTCGTCCCCAGCCAGGGCCAGCGCCGCAAGGGAGATCCTACTCCAGGGGGATGCCAGGCAGGGCCTGCTGCCTGCCCTGGAGCCTCCTGGCAGGGAGGGCAGAGATGGGGACCAGAGCATCAGGGGCTTGTCCCCTTGCCCCTCGCAAAGCACCAGCTCCCTGAGCTGATGGGGAGAGGGGAGGTCCTGGCTGAGGCTGTTGCACGTGTGGGATGGGGCGGGTGATTCTGTGCTGTGCCAGTGGTGATGTGGGGCTCGGTGCCCCGGGCACATGGGTGATATGCCAAGTCTGGCCATATGCCCAGATCTCATTGTACTGGTACCAACAGCCAGTGCAGCCTCCAGGCAAACTGGCCTGGCCCCACGTGGGAAGGGGGGCAGGCGGGGCGGGATTGGGAGGCATCCAGGCTTTGGCTCCGCTGTCCCCGGCCCACCAGTGGTGCCAGCCCCAGGGAGCTGGGCTTGCCTAGCCCACGATCACGGCCCAGCGGGGGGTAAGACCCCCCCAGGTTTGAGACCGAGAGCTCAGAGGGCTTGCGGCTGGCGTGGGCAGGTTGTGGGGTGCGGGGGGGCAGGGAGCAAAGCTGGACCAGCCCAGGAGAGCTGGGGGAAAAGGGTCTTGTGAAGCAGCACCAGGCATGGCCAGAGCCTGGCAGTGTGAGCAAGGCCTCTGCACAATGGCCAAACCAGGCCCCACGGCCAAACCCCCTCTTCCCAGCTCCGGGCTGGACAGCTCGGAGCTCCCCCGGGGTGCGGGGATCAGGGGGCCAGGGTTCCTTCTCTCTCTTTGCTTACAGGCTCTGAGAATACCCTTCTGCTCCCACCCTGCATCAGTCCTCCCCGAGAGCCCTGCCAGCCCCCCCTCATGTCCCTCCCCACCCCACAGCCAACCCCACTCCATGCCACCAGCCCAGTGCTGAGAACACTGGGGTAACGGGAGAGGGAAGGACCGCGGGGAGTGGCAGTCGGGTAAACACTAGGCCTAGGGAGTGGGGGGCACGAGGGGGTTAGGGTTGCCAACTTTGATTGGCCGTATTCCTGCAGGTTCCATCACATGACATAATCTTTCATTAAAGATTGATCTTTAATTGCTGGAGGCTCCAGGACAATCCTGGAGGGTTGGCAGTCCTAGGAGGAGCTGATGGTTGGGGGACTAGAGAGAATGGAGGGGCTGGGAAGGATGGGCAGAGCGGGGGTTGGGGGGGTACAAGAGGCTGGGAGAGATGGGGAGAGCAAAGGGGGCTGCATCTTTGGCTGGAATGCAGCTGACACCCCCCACCCCGAGAACAAGGCCAGCGCGTGCAGTGCATGCTGGGAAACGGGCAGCTCCTTGCACCTGCAGCTGGGCTGCGCCTTGTTCTCCTGCCAAGGCTGCTTCAGGAGTGGGAAGGGCGGGGGGAGCAGGAGGACAGGAGAGGTCAGGGATGTGGGGGAAGGGAAGGGCAGAGAACAGAAGAAAGGGACGCGTGTGTTGCGGGGGTGTCAGGCAGCCAGAGAAGGGGAGGAAGCTGCAGGGAGGGAGGGGTCTGGCCGGGGGTAGATGAAGAGTGGGATCGGGGGTGGGGGAGCAGGGGTACAGAGCACAAGGACAGGAAGGACAAAGCAGGAGATGGGGGAGGAAAATGAAGCCCTTTGCAGTGCTCAGTGGGGGAGGGATTCTTGAGCCAACACGGAGGGCGGGGGATTATGGCCTTTCCACCATTGACTGGGGGGGGGGTACATGGCCCTCCCACCACCGGCCTTGGGAAGGAAGATGCTGGCAGGGGCAAGGCCGCTCCTCACCTCCGCAGGAGAGAGCACATGGCCTGAGCCTGGGAGAACCTGGCCCCAGAGCTCTCCGGCAGCCCAAGGGGATGGAGGGGAGCCCGGGCCTCACCCCTCAGAGAGGCAGCTCTGGACGCCCCCCGGCCCCTGCAGGGAGCTGGGAACCGTTTCCTGAGTCAGTTTCCTCCACCTGCAGCTCAGCATTCTCCCCCATGGCCGTGGGGCGCTGGCGGTATGTGGGGGGGAGGGGGATAATCAGCCAGGTGCCTGCCTGAAGCCTGCATTCACGGACACATCAGCACCTTGCCCGCCGGAGGGATGGTGGCTGGCAGCTCCCAGCATGGCCTTGGTGGGACCCACAGCAGCTGTCTTTGTGGGGGTGTTGTTCAGAGACACGCTCTCCCAGTAGGGGTGGTGAGGCATCGATCCCAGGCCAGGATTGGGCCCCAAGTCCATCTCCCTTCCAGGACCTTTGCACCATTCAGCTCTGTTCCCTGTCCCGCAGCATGAGGACAAGGGAGGAGATCGCAAGTGCGCCCTTCCCCCAGCCACACACCATCAACCCCTGGAACTCACCGCTGCAGGATGTCACTGGGGCGAGCAGCATGCAGGGCTCCACATAAAGAGGAGCACAGCAGAAGTCTTCTTTAAATGGGCTTCCCTGACCATCTGTCTGTATCCACCTGCTGTCTCTTGTACTTAGGTCGTCAGCTCCTTGGGCAGCTCCTTTTTGTTCTGTTTGTGGGGTCCTGGTCCGGGACTAAGGTTCCTAGGTGCTACCCCAATACAGATTAAATCGTAAATAATAATAATCCATAAACCGCTTGCAGGCCTCAGCAAGAGCTCTTCTTAGCCCTAGAAAATCCAGGGACAACGTCGCCTCCTGCTAGGCACCAGGTACTGGCACCTTATCTGTTAACTACCTGGGTTTACACAGGCATCTGTTCTGCCGGCACCCTTGTAACAGTGCTATCTA